CACCCCACCTTCAAAAGGTCACGTCTCTGAGGAGAAAACCTTCAGCAGTGCTTATTCCCTGAAATCCCTCCCTGGGATAGTTCTGGAAACTTCATTGCACTGCAGTCAGAATTTGCATATCATTGGAAAAGTGGTGAATTTGCATTACTTAAAAAAAAAAAAAAAAACAAACAAGTCAAATTGAAGTCCAGCAAGGTGAAAGGGCTCAAAAATTAGGATCCTACTGGTGTTTTAACAACTCTCACCAAAACCGCTCTGAGTCACTTACTCTGTAAAACACACAAAATGTTGTGGCCAGGAGTGATTGCTCTGCAAGAAAAAACAGAAAAATAGGAACTTCCTTTCTTAAAAAGAAAGGGTTCTGGAAACATTCGAGATCAGGTTGGATGGGGCTGTGAACAAGCTGATGTTGTGGAAGATGCTGCTCATTGCAGGGTGTTGGACTAGATGACATTTAAAGGTTCTTTCCCACCCAAACTACTCTGTGATATTTTTTTTGATTCCACAATGAATGATCAAAATTTTCAGATTTTACCTGGGAGCAGGAAAATGGCTACAGCAAAAATAGGTTTATTTCTGCAGGCTGCCTATCAGACCTGCCTGGCAACTCTGAGGTTAAGCTCTGGGATACAGGGATATACTGGTGAGAAAACAAGATTTCTGAATTTAATTTGGTTTGAAAGTGGTGAGTGGTGGAACACAAAGTAAGGGCTAGATTTTGGGCAAATAGCATGGACCTCTCAATGCTCCACAAACATCCCGTTCCTAAAATGTCATTTTGCAGCTCATTTTCTTAAAAGTTGACTTCCCAGCTACTAAGTATGGTTTAGGTATTAGTTATGCAAAGGACATTTCAACCACTGGCAGCAACCACAGTTGAGGTGAGACTTTGATCTCCCTTAGATGTGCTTAAAAAATTTAAGCATGAAGTAAGAGATGATAATTTCTACTGCAGTGCAGTGGCTGGGGAGGAAAAATACAGGTGTTTAATAGAGGGGAAAAAACTACTTTAGCCCTTCTGCTGTGTCTCCTGTGTAAGAATCAAGGGGTGGGAGATTGGTGCAGTGATTTCATAGAATCACAGAATGGTTTGGGTTGGAAGGGACCTTTGGAGACCATCCAGTTCCACCCCCCTACAAAGGGCAAGGACACCTTCCACTATCCCAGGTTGCTCCAAGTCCCATCCAACCTGGCCTTGGACACTTCCAGGGATCCAGGGGCAGCCACAGCTTCTCTGGGCACCCTGTGCCAGGGCTTCCCCACCCTCATAGGGAACAATTCCTTCCCAATATCCCATCTAACCTGTCCTCTGGCAGTTGGAAGCCGTTCCTGTGTCCTGTTCCCTCCATTCCTTGTCCCAAGTCCCTCTCCAGCTCTCCTGGCACTGGAAGGTGCTCTAAAATCTCTCCAGAGCCTTCTCTTTTCCAGGCTTGTGGTGGAAGGATCTTGATCCACTCTATCACTCCCCCTTCCCAGCTGGACAGGGGAGAGAAAATAAGATGAGAAAAAAATCCTGGGTTGAGATAAGGCAGTTTGCAATAACAAAAGAAAAATTTTGTGCACAAGCAAAGAGAAAAAAAGATAAATTTTTCTCTAGTTCTCATCAGTGAGTGATGTCTGGCCACTTCCCAGGAAGCAGGGCTTCAGCACACAGAGCAGTTGCTCTGGAAGGCAAATATTGTAAATAACAAATGCACCCCTATTGTAAAATGCAGGCAAACCCAGTGGGAAGAAATTATGATGTCCAGCTCCAGTTCAGAAGGCTGAATGATTTCTTTATTATAACTACGCTATAATACATTAATATACTATATAAAGGAAGATACTAAAAATACAAACCTACTTTTTCTACCAACCATAGCTAACTCACACTCATGACCCTCTTCTCGAGACCCCAGCCCCAGGTGGGTTGGATTGGCCATCAGGCTCAAACAATCCTCACCAGAATCCAATCAAGCAATCACCCCAGGTAAACAATTCTCTAAGCACATTCCGCATAGGAAAAACAAGGAGCAGAAATAGAAATTTCTTTCTCTTTCTTTCCTCTGTGCTGCTCCATGAAAAATCCAGAGAGAGAGAAAGAAATGTGCTTGCCACACACCCCCTTCCTTCTTTTCTTAGTTTTTATCTGAGCTGACATCCTGTGGTATGGAATATCCTTTTGGATTACTTGGGGCAGCTGTCCTGGTCATGTCCCCCCTCCCAGGTTCTTTCTCAATCAAATTCTGAGTTTCCCACAGACCACCACTGAACTCAGACTTAGTCTAACCTAGAAATTACCTCCACAATGCAGAATGGGTCATGCAATACTTGTATGTATTGCATTGTATTACTTGTATGAAGTAAGAGTGCTGCTGTGTTTATAATATGTACTCAAAAAGAAGAAAAATAATATAATATGTACTCTCCAGGAAGAAAAAAAAAGTAAATATGTTCCTACTTGTAAATAAAAAACAATCTTATTTTACAGAAGTATCATAAACTTAACTGATGGCAATTAAAAAAATGTGTAAAGTTCTCTATTAATTTACAGAAAGTTCAATCAGGACTCCAGAGCTCCAGCACTTGGATGGCTGCTGTGGCTGCCCCTGGATCCCTGAAAGTGCCCAAGACCAGGCTGGACAGGGCTGGGAGCAGCCTGGGATAGGGGAAGATGTTCCTGCCCATGGCAAGAGATGAACAGCAAAAGAGACTGATTTACCCATGAGCTTTCCCAACTGTTCTTGCCACCCAAAAGCATCCCAAGGTCAGATTTATACGTGTGTCCTTCTCTGTCCCCAAAGGATTCACCTGGACAGTTCAGCTGCCCAGGGTTTTAGATGCTGCTGCTCTCAGTGCTGTTCGCTGGGGTGCCCTGTATTTCCCTGGTAAATAGCAGGATTTGTGAGGCTGGCACAAACAGCTGGACTGGAGGATTTTGGTGTCAAAGTGGGTGTCTTCCAACTCAGGGTATTCTGTGATTCCATGAATAGGGAGCAAAACAGCCAAGGACTGCTGGGAGCAGGGTCAGAGGAGTGATCTGGGATTTTGAAGATGAAAAGAAACAGCAAACCAAAGTTTGGGACAGGTATAGGTCTCTTCAAGCACTGAGATGACACAGTTTGAATGAAAATCAATGAAAATCTGAATGCAGAATGGAAATGTCCCATGGCTGTAAAAGCAAAAACTGTCTCTAGAAATGTATTTGTAGGGAGTTCAGCACAGATGGGGATGGGTACTGATATAACAGGATTGTAACAGGAGGAACTTTAAGGTCCCTTCCAACCCAAACCCTTGGATGATCCCTCCTTCCACCTCTCAGAAGGAAGAAGGCATGCACGGAAGGCAAGGAAGGCTCCTACTGGATTAATGAATTAGTTTAATTAATTAATTTTTAATTTAATGAATCCCATACAACTTCAGTGACACTGAGGAGGAGATGCCACAGGGCGAGTCCCTGGGTTTGGTGACACCTGGCTCCTGAGAGTGCTGCTGGGTCTGCAGAGCCATTCTGTGATTCTGAGATACTCTTTGAGGGGAGAAAATGTCATCAAATGCCAACACACTCAGGTTTGGGTGCCTGAAGAATCTCAGCCAGGTAAAGTGCTTAAAGAGCAACTTGCTCTCAAGAAAAATTTCACCAGAGCAAAGAAAAGGGGTAGGTTTCATTTCAAAAGGTTTTTGATAACCTTTAATTTCTGTTGTCATTGTTTCAGTAAAACTTTTTTAGTGTCCCAGTTTCCAGATCTCTAGCTAAGAGAAAGCTACATGTCAGAATAAAACAAATCCTTTGGGGTAACTTCTAATCTCATGGGGAAAAATCTTTAATCTTTTCTTTTATTTTTTTTTTTCCAATTCAGAGTACTAAGAATTACAAAATAATTATTTGGAGCTTGGAAAAATCTTGAAATCAGAAATTTCAAGAAGCACATTTTCTCCTCAGACCTTTGCATCTTGCCTACGACATCTGCCAATAAACGTGTTCATGCCTCGATATAAACCATGGAAATTTTTTTTTGCCATTGTAGTGTTGTGATGCATCAGCCATATTCAAATGCTAAACTATTCACCTTTCAATTGCTTAGGTAACCCAAACCACTGACGCATTTAAGGTAGACAATTTGGGGTCAGGTTTGTTGAACCTTACCTTCCGCTGCTTCATAGGCTTTCCAAAACGTATTTTGCTTCTAAAATTGGCAATTTAACTGACCCAGTTTGAAAGGATATTTCAGTAAATTGCATTAGAGAAAACCCCTTCTGAGGGGACCATTTCCTTTAACCTGCACACCTCTAACTTGAAGAGGGAAACTGATATATACATTCAATTTCTGAAACATCAGCATCTTTTAAACAAGCGGATGTGGGTCACGGGTATCCCAGAACCTGCAAACTAAATTCTACCCTTATTTGAATCCTCCTTTGGATGGCACAAGGTGAGTAAAATTTGGACTTGGATAAATATTAAGCAAATATAAAAAAAGTGTACCTTCTCCATAAAATTTTTATTAAAAAACCCACTAAAATTAGACCTGGGAAATGTTCTGATCAGCAGCTCAAGGCTGTTACACTGAGTGCAACTTCATGGGGCACATCTGGGCTATTCGTAACCCACTGTCAGAGCAAAATGACAGGAGTATTTCCTAAAAAAGGAAATATTAGAATATACACTTGATGTTATAGAATCCTAGAATCATAGAATGGTTTGGGTTGGAAGGGACTTTAAATATAATGCAGTTCCACACTCTGCCATGGGCAGGGACACCTTCCACTATCCCAGGTTGCTCCCAACCCTGTCCAACTTGGCCTTAGACACTTCCAGGGATCCAGGGAAAACCACAGCTCCTCTGGGTAACCTGTGTCTTGTGTCATTTTCCATCTTTCAGCCTTCACAAAGTTTCTCTGGAACTCTCCCTAACTTAGAAGTTTAACTACATCCAGCAGATTTCCCAAACTCCTTTCCTTGGGAACAAACCACTGCCTCATAGCACGAGAGAGGGAAAATGAAAGCAAAATTAGAAGGTGGAAAGCTCAAAACAAAGTTCACTCCTTTTTTTTCCTACGTGGAGAGTGACTGACTTTTGGGAGCTCGCTATCACCAAGCATTCTGATCAACACTGAGATATCAGACCTGAGGTTTAACCGTGAATGGAAGTATCCCAGTTCAGAGGAGAATTGAACTTGAGCAGGGACATTGCTCCTCAGACATCAAGAAAAATTGCAGCCCGTGGGAAGAATATGAGAGTAATTTGATGGTGGCCAGCTGTCCAACACCTGCCCAGTCTGGGGTGAAACAGGTGCCCAACCAAGGAGTGAACAGGTCCAAACCTGTGCCAGCGACATTTGGGTTTGATACCTATGGCATCCCAATTTAAAATTGAATACTTTGCACCCACAAATTTGCACTGTTTGTGGTTTTGTCACCATTTGAGTGACATGGCTGAAGGAATGACATCATCTACAGATCTAAGATATATCCTGTATTCCACCTGTGTTAATGGAACCTATATGCATACACTTCTTAATTTAGGTTATGGTCAGAAACCACAGTTAAGGTTGGGGGAAAAAACACCTACTCCAAATTACTTTGCACAACCCAGAAACTCTTATAAAAGGTCCAGCAGCAGATGTGCCCAGACACCTTCAGCTCAGCAGAGCCCAGCACAAGCATCAGAAGCAGTAAGAGAAGGAAGGAAGATGTTTCCAACTTTTTGCGCTTCTCTGGTAAGAACTTGAATTCTGAGTTTATTTTCCCCCAGTTTGACAGAGGCTTATTTAAATTCTAATAGATGGAATAGGGATCTGCACCCACCTTTAAAATGCTTGTTTAAATCATTAATAATTAAAAAACTTGAAATGTGAGAATGCTCATGGGACAGCAATGAGACTGTACATCAGTAACATGAGCTCCCACAGCATTTTCTGAGGCAAGAAATACATTGAAAACTCAACCTTAGAGTGTCTTTCTTTTTGTTATACCCTTTCTGCTATCTTCTCTATTATATTATTTTCTATAATTTAGCATTACAGCCAGATTACAGCTGGATGTAACTATAACTGTCAGCACTGTGAGAATCAGTTAATGAGAACAAAAGTGGATGTGACATACAGCACATTTTTCCATAATTACTCCAACCTGCAGTAGGGACTTTAACCACCAGTTAGGCTGACAGTGGATGAATTTCAAACCTGTCTTTTGTCCTAAATGTACCAATTCCCTCCAGCTCAGAGCCCTGCTCCTCGTGCTGCTGGCCATGCTGTCAGCCAGCAGTCCTGCCCAGGGGAAGGTGATCAAGCCTGGGCTCAAGCCAGAGAATCTCTTCAAGCAAGCATCTGCTGGATGCCTGAGCCAAAAAGACTCAAAATTCCCCCAAACTGTGAGAGTCAACCTCAGCATCAGCAACACAAACCAAGACACCAAAGCCAGCCCAGACATCAGCAGTCGCTCTCTGGCTCCCTGGGATTACAGGTATGATCCCTGCCCCTATGGCCTGGAAAAACTCTGGATGCCTTGGACAAGGAAAATACATTCATCTCTATTTTCAGTGCTTTACAATTGAGAGATTTTGGAAATATGAGGATATCCACGTCTGTATAATCCTCTTTGAAAGAGAACCAGTACAGAAAGCAGCACAAAAAAAATGACATGGCGTAGGCAATATACAGAAGGCAAAGCAAACAACTTTTATAGTTTAATAATTAATTTGTATACTGGGGCAAGCTTTATCTTCTAAAACATTTTTTATGTAAAACATCATTATAAAATACCTCAGAGGGTTAATATTACACCAAATTCAACAGTGGTTTAACACCAACTTTTCAAGTTTTGGGGAGGAACTGAAGGATTTGGGGTCTGTTAGTTGAAGTGACACATTGGAAAGCTCAAATCATTTCTGGTAAGTCTTTCAAAGTCAGTGCCTGCTTGAAGCAAATCCTCTGCAAAGGCAGTTGCGTCCAGCCACACGTTTTAAAATATCCAGTATTTAGTTACTTACATTTTATTTCGGAAAAACCTGCAGTCTTGGAGAATCTGCTGTTCCTCTTGGCAATGCACCTCATGATGCACAGGTTCCCGAGCAGGAAGCCCAGAGTCATCCAGGTTATCATGTTTTTGGATTCAAACCTTCTCTTTGCTGCCAACCCCCAGGATCGACGAGGACCACGACCGCTTCCCGCGGCTGCTCGCGGACGCCGAGTGCCGCCACACCCGCTGCGTGACTCCGGAGGGGCAGCTGGACCACAGCCTCAACTCCGTCCCCATCACGCAGGAGATCCTGGTCCTGCGCAGGGAGCAGAAGGGCTGCCAGCAGTCCTACAGGCTGGAGAAGAAAAAAATCACCGTGGGCTGCACGTGCGTCACGCCCTTGGTCCAGCACCAGGCCTGAAGGGAGACGGAGGTGCAAGAGCAAGGAGCCCCAGGGAACTTCTTGTGTGGAAGGGGCCTTCAAAAAGCTGGATCAAGCCATAAAATTTGTCAGGAATACATCAGTATATATTGAAAATTAGGTGTCTCGGTTAAAAAGTAATGTTTTCCCCCAAAATCTTGCACTGCACAAATTCAGAATCCAGACACCTTCATGTGCCAGGCTGAAAAGTAATGGGAACGCTACCCGTCCTTAGCTTACATTTTGAAATGTCTATTTATATAAATCTATTTATGCTGTTGGAAAACATGATATTAATGTATTATCCTAATATATATTTTTTAAACTATTAAGGTAATGTTTATTTATCTTTGTGTAATAAAAAAAAAAATTGTGAAAATCTCTTTGGCATTCTCCTTTCTTTCTAAAGAAATGTTCCTGATAAGGCAATAAATCACTCTATCATGACCATAAAAGAGACTTACATAATGTAAAATCCTTAAATTCTCTCGATAACATCTACCTCTGCAGCAGTAGAATGTAAAGCCCATGGGAAAAAAAATAGGGAAAACACCGTTTTACCAATAGAGAAGCTAAGATACCTGGAGGGAAATTATTCATAAAGTGGTATCAAAGAGATTAAAAAACAGACAAGCAAAAAAGGAAATTTCTACTGGGTAATTACCCAGTTACCCACCTAATTATCCAATTGTTTCCAATCGGATTTGTAAAGATGGGTTCAACACAGCACCTTAAATGTTTCTTTGGGGGGAAACAAACTCCCTCCCCTAAAACAGCAAGTACATTTCCACTGCTGAGCTTTAACTCCACTCCAGAATTACCTGTGACTCTCAGCCCAACCCATCTCAGCCCATTTTCCATGGAGCAGAGGCACCACCTGGGCACACAGGAGAAGGCTCACAGGAGGCAGGTGGGTGACTGAAGCAATTCACCACATCTGGCTGATTGCAATCGTGATTTTCTCTGTGTTCCTGTCCTTCCAACACGTTTTCAGCTCTTCAGATGTGGAGCACTGTGCCACAGCACTTCAGCTGTGGTTGGATGGCGCTTGCGTGGGTGGGTGTCTGGCACGGCAGGTGGGTTTATTTAAAGCACACTTGGGTTAGAAGTGCCCCAGTGAACATGTTCCATGTTTCAGAGGGCAGGGCTGGCTGGTGAAGACGTGGCTGTTTTGTTTGTTGCTGTCCCAGGGAGGTGTGGCCCCACTGAGGCACTGGCAAATGCAATAGCAAATAGAGAACTTGTGGAGACACAGAGTTCAGGGCTGAGAGACTCTAACCAGAGGGAAGTTCCTCTCAGGTGAAAGCATCTTCTCCAGATCCAGCTGTGATCATCCCAACTTTTGCTACTGGGGATTTTTCCCTCCAGCCGTTCCAGTGAGCCCAAACCCTCCCTAACCTACTCGAGGTGGGTCAGCCTGTAAACTAAAACAGCAGCACAGCCACACCATTCCCTGACCCGGCAGATAAACACTGGACCAAGGAAATATTGATTAATTCAGACTGACCACAGTACCTGCAATCACAGCAATGAACTCCTGCCTACACCATTAGTTACCTTCAAACATTGATATAACTTTGCTTAGACATAGAAATCTAGGAGTGTATATGATCCTAACTTAGCTAGTTTCTGACCTCATCTTCAGTTATTCTTCCTTAAGGTCTCCTGCAGCTCCTGAAGTTTAATCCAGCTGACCCTCCCACAAGTATTAAGAAAGAATGGACTTTAAAAAAAAATCCTAAACCAAAAAACATCACGGAACACTTATCCTTCAAGGTTTTCAAAGACTTATATAAATATCAGTCCAGGAAAATTGAAACAGAACTGACTTCCTTGTTGATTAGATAATCTTTGAATGTCCTACTGCTCCTAGAATGAGTGTTGTCACATTATCTACAATTAGCCCAAGTAACTTCCTACTGTTAAAATCACAGAGAGTCCATCCAGCCCTTTCTTCCCTGGAAGTCATGTGCCACTAGCTGGAGTTGGCACATAGGTAGTGGGGACTGGAAAGTGCTGAGAGAGCTATACTGAGGTGGAAAAACTCAGAACCAAGTCAGAAAGAGATGACATAGCTGGAGCATGGAAAAGCAACAGCTTTCTGCTGACAGACTTCACAGACCAGCATCATCATCATGGAATGGTTTGGGTTGGAAGGACCTTAAAGGTCATTTACTTCCAACCTCTCTTCCATGGGCAAGGACACCTTCCACTACCCCAGGTTGCTCCAAGCCCTGTCCAACGTGGCCTTAGTGAAGATACACCAGTCTCCCTTGCACCAGCATGATTTTTGTTGAATCAATTACCAACCCAGCTAAATCTGAGCCTTAGGACAGAACAACTTTTTATTTATTTGGACAACTCTGTGCTCACACCTACAGGCTGCTTGGGTGATCTACATGCTCCTGCAGAAGCATTTAATAGGTTAATTAATAAGCTGGATTTATAGGGCCAGAGGACTGTTTTCTTTCCTACTGGAAGTTCTCTCCTAACCCCTAGCACCATGATCCAAGAGACTTTCCTTCACAGATTTCCTTCCTTGCTATGTTCAGTTGGAAAGGCACAGAATAATCCCAAATCAATGCATCATTACAAGGGTGACCTCATCAGTGTCCTTATTCTTCTGCAGTCAATAATGATCACAATGAGAGACTAAAGAGAGTAGAGCTCCTCTTTCACCTATGCACAGCTCTTATCAATTTGGGGTTCAACAGGTAAAGATTGCTCCTCCTTGTTTTCAAGAGTTTCAGTGCAAATTTCTGCTAATTTGATGCTCTTAAGTGATATTGTCATTGGAGGAACGGGGGCAGAATTGCTGCAAAACCCTCTCCAACATAAAAGTTTCCAGTCCAGCACTGCTCCCCATTTCAGTTTCATCTCAGTTTGCAAAATCTGAGCGGCAGTGACTTTGCAACCTGTGAGTAAAACCCACCAGAAGGGGAAGTTTGAACTTGGATTTTTACAGATAATCACGCTCATCATTGACACTTATCAAAGCAATCTGGATAGAAACCAGATGCTTCTAAAAGGTGCTGCAGATTCAGCTGTAATGCAGACCAAGAACAGTTGTTTCAGAAGTCTGAAGTAAAAAGCCACCCTAAAAAATTATAGGATCGTGTTAGAGAGGAAATAAACTATCTCTAGTCATTTACCAGAACTGGGAACCTTGATCATGATACAAATATATTGTGCTTACTAAGAATGCAGATAAAACAGAAACATGATGGTTTGTACTGATTTTACTCACTCATAGAAAGCTGTGCCCAGGAAAAAAGCATTTTGTCATTCTATGAGCCCCAAAGTGTGTCAAACATATTTTTAATCTTTTTTTTAAGTTATAGAAAAAGTAGAAAAGCTGAGCCACTTTTCTGAAAGAAGAATAAACAGTTACACCAAAAGCAAGAAGAGACTTCTTTGATGAGCTGAGGTCCTGAACCTGCTGCCCCTTTCTAGCCCTGGAAGTATGGGGAATAAGAACTAGAACTAGAAACTATGAAAACTAGATCTAGATAATATGAAAAATGTTTTTAATCATAGAATATCCTGAGAGGACCCACAAGGACCACTGAAGTCCAGCTCCTGGAACTCCTCTTCGTGAGCAGCAAAGGCAGAAAGTGTAGTTTGTGTCTGGTGCTGAGCCTGGCTGGCATCCTCTGAGTTCCTGACAGCCAGCACCAGCACATGTCCCATCCCCACCAACAGCTCTGGCTCTGCCAGGTGGTACCAGACAATCACAGACATTTTAGGCAGGTTTGAGGTTTTTTTTGTCACTGCCTTGCTACAGTAGAAAATGCAGAATCAGCCCACTCATTCTTCTTGAGCACAAGGTTAAAAATAATATCGAAGGAAAAGGGAGAGGGAGATGGAAACAGAAGGAGATTGTGGCATTATAGAATGGTTTGGGTTGGAAAAGACATCAAAGATTATCTTATTCCATCCTCCTGCCATGGGCAGGGACACCTGCCACTAGCCCAGGTTGCTCCAAGCCCCATCCAAACTGGCCTGGTCACTTCCAGGGATGGAAGAGCCACAACTTCTCTCTCCCACTGCCTCACCATCCTCACAGGGAAGGTCAAGGAAAGTCTCCTGTTGTGGAGGTGATGGTGACATGGGAGCACATTTGTGGTCTGGTCTCTCGAGCCATCTCCAGTATCTGCAGTTGATACAGAAACTTATCCTCTGTACCCATCATGTTGGCACCAATCCAGAGATGCCCACAGGACTGCTCAGAAAATCACTCTTCCAGAGAATTTCTGGACTGATCAGAAAATTGCTCATCACCTTAAAATTTTGCCTGTAATGTCAAAATCCCAATAAACCATGTCGGTTTTCCAGCCATTAACCCTCTGCCTTACCAAATAGATAATTCTTGGGTTTTTTTCAAACTTTTAGCTTGACACCTTTGCATTCTTTACATAATAAATTTTGTAACATTTTCCAAAGCGGTGATTTTTGTGGAATAGGTTGCTGTGGCCTTTGAACACTCCCAGGAGCACCTGCCTGTGGTCAGGGGTCCAAAGAGGCCTGAGATACTTTCTGGTCAACAGCACAGGTCTGGGAGGAGGTATCTACCTGCACTGGGTCACTGCTGTGCCCCCCAGCCCATGGCAGTGCAGGGGGCTCTGCACTGTGCTCAATCCAACATCCCATGGGAGATGCCACACCAGGATCAGCTGCCAGAACACACGGCCAAGGGGAGCAGTGAGCAGAAAAACAAAGGCAGGAGATTAGAGAGAGGAAATCAGGAGAAAAGGAATAGGAAAGGCCACGAGGCTCAGATACCAACCTGTGACTGGAGGCTGCTCAGCCCAGCAGATCACAGGAAGACACTGTGGCACTGCTGCCACAGCTCCAGCTGGGTCTTCTCCTCCTAGTAAAACAATCCCAGTCCCTGCAGGCTGCTCCAAGCCCCCTTCCAGAGCCAGAGATGCCCAGCTGGGCACCCAGGGTCTGGGGCCACTGCTGCAAAAGGAACAAACCAAGCAAAGCCTTTAGCAAAGGCTGTGAATTGCACTTGCTCTCAGTGCTGATATGACTGTGCTGTTTACAAGAAGCATAAATTTGTTTGTCATGTTTGCTGATTCATGGAATCACAGGGTGGTTTATGTTGGAAGGCACCTTAAAGATCATCTAGTTCCAACCCTCAAATTAATAGATTGCTGGCAGCAAAAACCAGCATCCAAAAAATAACCGGGCTTGTATCTACAAGCTGCTGCACTCTAAGAATGATGCCATTAGGAGGAAACAAACCCCACATACAAGCAATGCCTCCCTGAGTGGTGTGTGGTTTGCAGTCGAGTGCTCTGCCTGCAAAACCTCATGACCCATGGGTGAGACTTCCTTAATTAGCCACCTATGTATTTTCCTAATTAGCTACTTCATTAGCCATCCAGTCGGGACCACTCTTGGGGTAAGCACAGGATGATGCCAGGGACCCCATGTCAAAGTAACGATGACTGAGAGGAGAGATGCAGAGTATTTTTCTCCCTGAAAAACAAGTGAGGGCAGCCCCACAATGCAGGTTTGTGGAGAGAAGTAGGTCAGGAGTAAGAAGCAGGTTGCGATTTCCTGGTCAGGGGTTACTGAAAGAGGAGAGCGGGAGACGCCTCCCTGGGCTGGCTCGGTGGTCATAACGAAACAGCTGCTGCCACAAACAGTGCAGATGCTCCTAACGGAGTGAGAAGGGCACCCATGGATGGTTGGAGTGGCTCCCAGTGACCCACGGGGCACAGAACACACCTCAGACTCAACAAAGAGCACCAGAGGATGTAAGAGCCTGAGTGAGAGATGTGGGACTTCAGGCAGCTCTTCAAAATGCAATTTATTGTATCCAAGATGGTACAGCAGTCCAGGGTTGTGGGTGACAGAGCCTGTGCCAACAGCTGTCAGCTCCAGCTGCAGACAAGTCTGAAGACCCCTTAATTTTGGTTACAATGCATTATACACTTTTATTTGCTGAGCATCTTAATAAACCAATCTATACTGTTACTTTTACCTATAGTCTATCATAACTACTATAGTTGTCATATTCATGTTACTATTCTCCAATCACAAAAAGTTAGTATCTTACAGTTGAAGCTAGAAGTTGTTTTTCAGTTTTCTTGCAGTGGAAAATTCTGAGACCTTTTTTTCTACTTGCAACATGGGCAGTCTTGTTTGTCTGTGGAATCTTTTTGCTTGGTAAAAACATCTTCTGTTTGTGGTGGGTTTATCCTTTGCTCTAAGCCATAAAAACCCCTTCTAACTAACATACCCTTTGCCTTCTTAGTTATCCAGTAAGACTGGCTCAGCAAGTTTTTCTCCTATATCAAAATTTGCTTTCATTTCCATTCCTTCTTCAGATTCTACATTCAAAAAGTCTTACTGCCAAGCATACATATCTGTTAAACTTTCTTGTCAAACTTTCATCCATCCCAACAAGAGGAGACATCAAAGAATTGTAGAATCACAGAACTGTGGAATGTTTTGGGTTGGAAGGGAGCTCAAACACCATCCCATTCCATCCCCTGCCACCTTCTGCTATCCCAGGTGGTTCAAACCCCCGTCCAACCTGGTCCATTCGTCTGGACCCAACAACTCACCTGGTCCACCCTGAGAAGGAAACCCAGGATCTACCTGCACCAGGTGGATCTGATTTAAAGTGGTTTCTGTGCAGTCAAAATGAAATACTAGAATGCCTGCGTGGGTTTGTCCTGATTTAAATGTAAAAGGAAATGCAGGCTTAAAACCTCCTGCAGCAGAAACCAAAGCAGAGGTCTGAGAGCCTGGCTCAGCTCTGACGGGAGAGGAGCAATGTCAAAAAAAGCAATATTGCAGTAATTTGATAAAAGAGTAGATAGTTATAGGATCATGGAATATCCTTAGGGACACAAGGATCACCCAGTCCAACTCCTGAACAGTGAGCTGTGCCAGGCTGTGCTCCTTGTGCAGCTCAGGGAGGGAAGGAGCAGTTCCTCATTTCCTAAGGCAGGACACCTCAGCTCAGCAGGAAACCACTCCCTGCAGGTACAGTTCCTGGTTCCTTGATGTGAGGGATCCTCATCCACGCTTTAATCCCAGCACCTGGGAATTTCCTGGCTGGGGAGCACTGGGATGAAGCCATCGACATCTCCCTGCATTCCTGCTCAGCCAACCATTCAGCTGGGGGAGGAGAAAATTGTTTATAGGGATGAAAGCTTGCCTGGAGGAGGATAGGACAGACCTTTCCCAGCTCTAATGAACCATCCCAAATTCTGGCTGCAGCCCTGGAATGTGACATCTCCCATCTCTTTTCCCACCATTCCTAGAGACCATCCCAGAGGTCTAAAAAACCTCATTCCATTGCCTGCAGAACCTCCCTTCACTGCTTTCAGCCTCTTCTTTGAGTCTTTTCATCTATTCAGGCTGCAAGTTCTCTTCTGCTCCTTTTTACTCATCTCACTGCACAGGAAAATACCCGATCTGTGCCGAAATCTCTCAGTGCTACTGCAGCACAAACCCATTCTCTGTGCCTCTTGTCATTCTGAACTACCATGAAAAACTATTTTTTAAAATAAAATATTATTTTTATTCAGCAGATAAGTTATTGAATAAATACAGATTAAATTTATCAATATTTTTTTTCTACTCTGAGCACACACAGAGCCATAAATAGAAGACATAAATAGAAATATAGATATCTGTTGGTTCTTTACCATTTTAGCACTCAACAAGTGGAATCAGTTGCCTCCCAAAATGTTTTGCAGTAAATCAATTGCAGCAGTGACATAAACCCAGACTGTGGTGACAACCAGGCCTGGTGGCACCAATGTCTGACTGACATCCCAGTGAGCAGGGATGGCCAGAGAAGGGAAATGGGATAGAGATGAGGAGGGAGAAGATGCAGGATGAGGAAGTTTTTGTGGTAGTGCTGGTGGGCATGTATTCAATTAGGGCAATTTACTGCCAAGAACAACTTCAGAAACTATAATTAATTTGGTTCACCAAACTGATATAAACCACAATGGAAAATAAATTTTTAAAAAGCACTGCTTGGGTCCACAAACAAAACTCTTCCTCCCTTCCACCATCAGCTACCAACGATCTCCATCCTGAAATCCATAAATGAACAACAGCAAGAATCGTGACTTTGACGAGACAATTTGCTCAGATTTGGAAGGGGAATGATGCGTTGAGTTCCCGGAGTGCGAGGCGGGCAGCTGTGGGATTTCACCAGAGGGATTTTTATGGGAAATACTTCCTCCTCCCTACGTGGCCTGCTGCTAGGACTGGTGCTGGATGACGGGGGTGACGCAGGTGCAGCCCACGGTGACGATCCTCTTCTCCAGGCGGTAGGAGGGGACGCAGCCGCGCCGCTCCCGCCGCAGCACCAGGATCTCCTGCCTGATGGGCACCGAGTTGAGGCCGTGGTCCTCCTGCCCCTGGGGGCTCACACAGCCCGACAGGCGGCACCGGGCGTCGGCAATCACCCGCGGGAAGCGGTCGGGATCCTCGTCCAGCCTGGGAACGGGGGACACAAATCTGATTTAAGCACTTGGACATCATGGTTTGGTAGGATCTTCTCGTTTATATCCCCATCGTCCTATTTAACCTGTGTGCTCTCACTGTGAGACACAAAGGGTTTCCTTATCCTCAGTGGTTTCACAATGATTTCCTAGAAATGGGTAATATTGCTGTATCGTTCTTTAGGAGCTGATGAATGGAGTGGAGCTGTGTTAAATAATGCAGAGCTCACAACCGGCCTATTCATTTCTGTTTGGTTTTAATTTCAGCATTTGGATGTTTCTTTCTGTTAGGAAGATGTGAAATGTCAATGTACTCACATCATTCTTTTCCCAGAGGAATAATTAATTTCATTGTTATTTCAGCCTCATGCAGCACTAAAAGCTCAGGCCAGAGGAGTTCGAAAGTTGCTCAGAGGAGCTGGGAAAGCTCCAGGAGCACCAGGAGGGGCTGAGGGAGCTGGGAAAGGGGCTCAGCCTGGAGAGAAGGAGGCTCAGGGGGAACCTTCTGGCTCTGCACAACTCCTGACAGGAGGGGACAGCCAGAGGAGGTCAGGCTCTGCTCCCAGGAAACAGGGGACAAGAGGAAACAGCCTCAAGTTGCTCCAGGGAAGGTTTAGATTGGATATTAAGAAAAATCTCTTCCCTGAAAGGGTTGTTAAGGCCTGGCACAGCTGCCCAGGAATTATCATCCCTGGAGGGCTTTAAAAGCCATGTGGATGTGGCTCTTGGGGACACAGGTCAGTGGTGGCCTTGGCAGTGCTGGGGAAATGGTTGGACCCAAAGACCTCAGAGGGCTTTTCCAGCCTCAATGATTCTGTGATTGATAAAGACTGACAAGAAGATTGGAAACCATTTCATTGATAGCCCCTTGCACGGCAAACAGTTTCTCCTGAAGAAATCCCAACAAACATCAGAACATCAGGGTGTGTCAGGAAGTGTTTGCAATATTCATGGGACTCTGGGCATATGCTGAGAATGAACCACAGCCACCACAAAAAAACATCTGTGGCACAGCCCTCGCAATTTAGAGAACAACTGAAGAGTTACCTGTAATCCCAGGGAGCAAGAGACCTGTTCCTGACATCATGGACCATCCCAAAGGCATGATCTGAGTTGCTGATCTGAATGTCAACGTTCACTGTTGTGGGGAATTTGGGATCCTTTTGGTTCAGGCAACCTTCGTTCAGCCTTGCAGAGGCACCAGCCTTTCTGTGGGGTGAGCTCCTCACAGTGAGGGCTAAAACCAGCACCAAAACCAGTGATCTGAACTGGGAGAGAGAAAGGCGTCGTTAGTTCTGCCCAGTCAGGAAAGAGAGAGCACCAAGAGCCAAGTCTTGGTTAGACTGGACCATCTTCATACTTAATTTGTGTGAAATGGGCCAAGATGAGCAAATAGCAAAATTATGGTAATAAAACTCATCATAACTGATGCTAAACCCTGATTTAAATTCTGGTTCACAGTTGATTCTTCACTAAGAAGAGCACCTGTCCAACAAGCTGTGAAGATCCTGCTCTGTGGTCACACAGCACCATCTTTTAATCTAAAAACTGTGGTAAGGACTCAGCTGACCCCTGTGCCTAAGCTTAAAACCTTGCGCAGACATGGCTTTCTCAGGACAGTAAAGACTGGCCACCCACAGCCATCTGATGGAAATACCCCTTTTCCCAAGAAAATGTGGGATTCTTGGGCAATTTCCAGTAGGCAGAGTTTTAGTAAATATTAGACTCATAGACTATCCTAAACAGAAAGGGAACCACAAGGATCATTAAGTCCAGTTCCTAAAAAGAAGCGAAAATAAATGCAGGGCTTTTAAGAAAATCACAGGAGCTGACAGTGCTGCAAATGCTACCCAGGTTGAAATTCAAATGCATAGGTATCCACAGTGCAATTTCAACAGTTTTGATAACATGTTGCCTGCAAAAAGGATTTTGCCAATCCCACATCAGCAGCGCTGATGAGATAAATAAATAATGGATTTATTATGCCCATGCAAGCATGCCCTTGTCACTCAGTCACCAAGCAGCTGCATCAGCCACACCCAGCATCCCATGTAGCTCCCAGCAAGGCTAGAAGGTTTTTCTGCACAAATCAGGGGATCTGGACTCTGCTTTCTCTCTTGCAGCAAATACACCTTATCCTTTATTATTTTATATATAAGTACTTACCCCAGCAGAGCTCATGCAAGCCATGGTAACCTCCCTGCTGCTTTGGGTGGATGTTAGGGCGACAGGACAAGAGAATTCTCCTTCTCTGAGACCCTTTCAACCCTGCTTCTGTCTTAAAGCCAGTTGTGCTCTCCATTTTATAGTAAAGCTGAGGCACTGCCATCCTTTCCATTGCAGCACAGCTGGTTTACCTAACCTGAGGTTAGGAGCTGATATTGCAATTTTTAGCCCACTTCCTCCCATCTAACTCCAAAAAAGGGAAGGGCAAATACTACTACCAGCATCCCAAATCAGCCAATACCATTTATTCAGGCAGATCAAGAGATAAGGAGGAAAAAAAAAGGCAAATTATTCAGGCAGATGGGGTTTTTTTCACTTCTTTCCACTCCCCTCTTTCTAATAATAGTGTTCTTTCACCACAAACTCATGTGGATGCACTCCCACGTGCCTCAAACAAGCCCCACAGAAGAGTTCAGCAAGCTGCAAAGTCAGGCACTCAGCAAGGGTTTCAAAATGAGGGCAGGACATGGAACCTCACCATTTAACCTCCCTTCAACTGCACAATACACACCCACCCCATCTTAGGGATCCCTGTGTCCGTGAGGGACGGGCCAGGGGAAGGATAAGTGCCATGGGTAATTCCTTCTGGGGTGTCAGGACACCAGGAGCTGGGATGCCTTTTCTGAACCTCATACACACCCTGTTAGGGCCCCGACCACCAGCACCAGGAACCCCTTTCTGGCTCAGCTTTGACTCCCAGCCACTGCCTGAGCTGTGCTGCTGGAATACTGGAGCAGCATTTCTCCTGGGTGGGCTCCTTGGACATACATAGTGGTGAATGGAGCTGGGGAAGGGGCTGGAGCACCAGGAGAGGCCCAGACTTATGGAATCATCTGCAGCTAGTCCACCTTCGATATCTTTAGCACTCCCACACACAGTTTCTTACTGAGCCACCTTTATCCTTTCCTTGGCACACTTTGCTGCTGCTTCTGTACATCCCATAAGCCTTGCACAATCCCAAAACACTCTAATATTAAAGTCCCATGGCCCCGTAGCCAGCGAGGTGGTGCGAGGAAAGCCTCTCCTGACCTGTCTGGTGGGACATGGGTTGACCATTGTCCTTGAAGAGCCCTGAAAGAGCTGGGTCAGAACCTTCATTTGAATTCCTCCACCTGCTCCTGTTCCTTTGTGTTCGTGGAAGATTTAACCCCCTCACAATCACACAGTCCTCACTTAATAATTAACAGGAGAGGGAGACATGAAAATAGAAGCGGAAACAGGATTCTGCATCCTGTGGTCCACAAAGAAGCAGCTACCAACTGGAAAGTTTGTGCATGTGGTGTTTACCTGGAGCACCAGCAGGCCTCTTAGGGAGTAAAAGCCATTTTTATTTCAGAAAAAAAAAACAAAACCAAAAAAAACCCACATAACAACTGGATGAAGCTTATTTGTGGAAAAAAGCTCTGAGAGAAACCTTTCCCAAAGCTCTGTAGCCAAGCTGGAAGCAAAGCACTAAAGTGTTTTCACACAAATTCATCTTCAGTCATCCAGGGAATCAACAGATTAATGACATTTTCAGTCAAAAAAAACAGTTCCTATAAAAGACATTTCTTACAAAAAAAATCAGAAACCTCTTACAAATTCACAGAACTTTCCAAGGAGAAGGGACCAATGCTCTGTCACCTCCCTTGAATCAGAGCAGCAGAAATCTGCATCGACTGATGCTTTACATCACTGCAGGATGTTGTCATGTCTTTGTGGTCTGGTTCAACCGACAGCTCAGAGCCCAGACACTCTCCTCCTGTGCATTTGTCACATTTAAGGTCATTAAGTCCACAGGAGGCAACACTAGAGCTGTGACACATGTTCCTATTCTGACTGGCCTAAATGTTCACCAGTACATCTACTGAGATGTGACACGGAGCGTGGAGCAGCAAGAGAGGGTAGAATTACCAGAAATCCACTTTTTTAGCCCAGAAACTGACCTCCTTTTTTTCCCCGAGTGTTCATCATGAAAGGAAAGGGGACTGCCATGAAAACGGGTTGGATTGTGCAAAAACGGGGTTGAGTGGAAATGGTAACGTGTGACGAAGCAATGACGTTGTCACGCCAAATACTGGGTTATGAACCCCCACCACCACTTTCCACTCACTTCTTGTCTTCAGCAGCTTGTAACTTCAGCAGGGATTCCCTCTTTGACCCAGAATTTCCTGCAACTGAACTTGTCTCGACAAGTTGAAGTTTACTAAAAAAATCACAAAGGAGGCCACCAAACATGAATCATCACAAAGGAGGAAAAATACTTTTATTCCTAGAAGCACAGAATGGCTCTGGTGGGAAAGGACATTAAAGATCATACAGTTCCACTACCCAAGCTGTTCCAAAACTTGGCCTCGAACACTTCCAGGGATCCAGGGGCAGCCACAGCTTCTCTGGGCAACCTGTGCCAGGGCCTCCCCAACCTCACAGGGAAGATTTTTTTCCCTACAGATAGGAATATAAAGTTATCTCAAAAAGCTTTTCCCTCTCACATATCAAGGGCTTGCAGCAGGGATGGGGACTTGGAGATTAAAGAGTATTTTAATTCCACTTAGCAGAACTCTTCTATTTGAGTTCCTATACAGAAACAGCACCGTAGAATATGTTACTCATTTAGGTTCAGGTTTTTGTGGATGATTGAATCACACAATATTATGTGTTGGAAAGAACCTTACAGACCATCCAGTCCCACCCCTGCCATGGGCAGGGACACCTTCCACAAGACCAGAGGACCTTCCACAGCCTGCACCAGCTAAAGGCTGAAATCACAGCCTCCGGCATCTCCAGATGACAGGGTCAAATGAAAAGTTCAGCTGCAGCACAGGACACAGCTTTGTACTTCCAGCAGATTGTCCCTGCCTCTCCAGGCCACCTTCGGCAGTTTTTCTCTTGCCAACAAAGACACCTCTCCCAATTGCAAAGCATGCACCCGGGGTGCCCACCAGCACAGGGGGGTGGTAGTCACCCACAGCCTACAGCCTCGGGTATAGGATAGGGAAATACCCAAATTTCTCTACCCTGGAGCTCCTCCTGGTGTCCTCTCACGAGAAACTCAGTATTAGCTGTTCCTCAGCTGTAAGGGCAGGGAAAACACAAAATTGTGGAATTACAGAATAGGCTGGGACACCTTCCACTAGCCCAGGTTGCTCCAAGCTCCATCCAACCTCACCTTGGACACTTCCAGCGATTCAAGGGCCTCCCCACCCTCACAGGAACAAATTTCTCCCCAGTATTCCATCTATCCCTGCCCTCTGGCAGTGAGAAGCCATTCTCCCTGTCCTGTCCCTCCATCCCTTGTGCCAGGCCCCTCTCCAGCTCTCTTGGAGGCCCTTTAGGCACTGGAAGGGGCTCTTAAATCTCTCCAGATTCTTCTCCAGGCTGAACAATCCCAACTCTCCCATCCCATCTCCAGAGAAGAGGATCTGTGTTTAACTTTCACCAGTTTCTGCAATTTTGAGCCAGACCTTGCCTGAAGGTCCAAGGTTGCTCTGTACCAGCACAATACACCCACTCAAAGATCTTAAGGCTGCAAACACACAAAATCCCCTCGAAACCTGCTGTCAATTGCTTTCTTGGATGAGAGGAGCTCCCAAATCTGTCTTTTGAGCTCACCAGGCAGCTGAAGTCCTTCCACAGCAGCACAAACCCCACCTGTGTAAGTGCAGCTGTATCCTCACAAGTGTGAATCCTACATCCCCCCAAACAGCCAACCATGGGGTGAACAGTAGAGACATTTATATAACCCAAATAAAGATTTATGGCACCCAGGAAGAAGGGAGCTGTGTCTGGAGATAGGCAGTGACAACAGCAAACCTGTTCAGGGGTTCCTCCAAAGCTCAAACTCACAAAGACAAAAGAAACTGAAGAAAAACCCAAACCTTCATCAGCTCTGGACCACAAGCAGCCAGAACTGTCCTGATTGTGTGTTCAGCTTTTCTTGAAAGTTTGCCATCCCCAGGACATGATCCCAAGCTAAAGGCAGGAGCAGGAGGAGATGGAATCCATCTGTGCCAGGGACACATTCCCTGGGCAGCGCTGAGACCTTCCAAGTTCCTTCCCTGGGGGCAAAACTCCC